ATAACTGATCATTTAACATTACTGCTACCCCTTCCTTTGCTCTAACTCTCTCAGATACTCCAGATTTAATCCCATTTATTTCCCCCCACTGAAACTCTCCTACCCCCTTCAGCTTTGTTTCGCTTAGGGCCAGGACATCCAACTTCTTTTCATTCATAACATCAGCAATCATCTGTTTCTTGTCATCCGCACTACATCCACGCACATTTAAGCAACCCAGTTTTATAAAGTTTTTCTTCTTCTCTTTTTTAGTAAATGTATACAGGAGAAGGGGTTACTAGCCCATTGCTCCCGGCATTTTAGTCGCCTCATACGACACGCATGGCTTACGGAGGAAAGATTCTTTTCCACTTCCCCATGGACAATAGAAAGAAATAAAAAAGAACAAGAGCTATTTAGAAAAAGGAGAAAAACCTAGATGTATGTATATATATATATATGCATGTGCGTGTCTGTGAAGTGTGACCAAAGTGTAAGTAGGAGTAGCAAGATATCCCTGTTATCTTAGCGTGTTTATGAGACAGAAAAAGAAAATAAATATAAAACACTAATTTTAATTGATAAATGAACATTTAAATCACTTTTATCTTTATTGAAGACTTGTTGGCATATTCTTTATGAGATCCGCATGCAACTGCCTTGCCTTTTCGCAAATTATCGCCTCCACAACACTATCTCCTGCTAACTGTTTTTGTTGATCCACACCAACAACAATTTCTCAACATCTTCAATTATTTGCCATCACTACCACCCTCTACCACCCTCTACCACCATCACTACCACCATCACTACCACCATCACTACCACCATCACTACCACCATCACTACCACCCTCTACCGCCATCACTACCACCCTCTACCGCCATCACTACCACCCTCTACCCCCATCACTACCACCCTCTACCACCATCACTTCCACCCTCTACCACGAATGTTTTGGATGAATGCACAGAGTATTGTTCACTGAACCAGTGACAGAAGCAGACTGAGTCACATATGTGTGAGCAGCTGCATCCCAGGCAGGTGGACGCATCTGTTACAGACAATTTCTGAGCAAAGGTACGAGACCCTAGGTAAAATTTCTCCCAAAACAGTGGTCGAAATCCGAATCGTACGATATCTGCACCGGATGAAATCCGGGGGTCCACTGTAACAAATTTGTTTTGAAAATTCTTGGACCCTGGTTGTCATTCTGAGATTTGGCCTCTGGACCCTTTATGGGTTAATCCACATAATCCTTGAATTTATATATTTATATTCCCTCTTCTCCTTCCATAACTGATCCTTCAACATTTTTGCTACCCCCTTCCTTATGTCTAACTCTCTCAGATACTCCTGACTTAATCCCATTTATTTCTCCAAACTGAAGCTCGCATATCCCCTTCAGCTATGTATTGCTTAGAGCTAGGACATCCAACTTCTTCTTATTCATAACATTAGCAATCATCTCTTTCTTATTGTTCACACTACATCCATGCACATTCAAGCATCCTAGTTTTATAAAGTTTTTCTTCTCTTTTTAGTATTTTCTACAGGAGAAGGGGTTACTTGTCCATTGCTCCTGGCATTTTAGTCGCCTCTTACAACACGCATGGCTTACGGAGGAAAGATTATTTTCCACTTCCCTGTGGAGAATAGAGGAAATAAAGAAGAACAAGAACTATTAAGAAAAAAGAAGAAACACCTAGATATGTGTATGTTTTTATATGCATGTGCATTCCTGTGTAGTGTGACCTAATTGTAAGTAGAAGTAGCAAGATATATCTGTTATTCAGTGTGTTTATGTGACAGAAAAAGGACACCAGCAATCCTACCATTATGTAAAACAGTTACAGGTTTCTGTTTCACACTCGCTTGGCAGAACGGTAATACCTCCCAGGGTGGTTGTTGTCCACCAGCCTACTATTATTTTTATTACTATTATTATTCCTAGTTATATTTTATTTTCTGAGAAATAGAGTAAATGTTTGTCTGATTATGAATTCAAAATATAAGGCAAATGTAATATAGGAGAGGCCTGGGGACATGAAAAATGAACATAGGGAATGTTTTTTTAGTGCCAGGAATGTCTGCATTGTTTATTTTAGACTCTATTTTTAACCCTTTGACTGTCACAACCCCAAATCCTGAGGTGTCTCCTGGTGTCGAAAAATTTTTGAAAAAAAAAAAAATCTCATGAAGCGATAGAGAATCTTTTCCCGATGGTAATGACACCAAAACAACGAAATTTGATGGAAAACTTACAGAATTATGCTCTCGCAAAGTTAGCGACCTCGGCGATATTTACGAATCAGCGATTTCGCCCACTTTGAGCCCTATTTTCAGCTAATTCCATTGTTCCAGTCAACCAAACTCATAGCTATTTCTTTAGAATTCCATTTGTTCTATCGATTGAGTACAAGAAATTACCCATATACTGATTTCAACTACCCAGGTAGACCCAGTAACGTGGTCAGAAATTTGCAATTTGGCCAATTTCACGCAAATTAGAAAATATGCCAATTTCGAAATAGGGTCCAGAATGAACAATGTAGACATTCCTGGCTCTAAAATAACATTTTCTTTGTTCATCAGTCACATCTCCAGGCCCCCTCTGATATTACTCTTGCTTTCTATTTTGAATTTTTATTCAAACAAAAAATAGAAGATTTACTGTTATGCAGACTACTACAATATTGTAATAATTGTATAAATAATGTCAACCCATTCATGACTGCATATTAGAATGGCTAGTTGGACATTTATTGGACAATGACATCATTTGTTTACTATTGAACATCGGCAAAAATCAAACATTTCCCCTACTTTGAGCTCCATTTCAAGGTTCTTTTCATAGTAAAACCAATCAGAATCACCTCTATTTCTATAATATGTTTTCTATTCTATCAAATGAGACCAAGAAAACGAGAATACAATCATAAATACTATACAAAAATAGACCACAAAGTCGGCATTTTAATCCAAAAACACGGTTGGAGCTTTTTTTCTCTCATTATGCACTGCGTACTGCACGATTTTTTTTTATATGGTGCACACTGACCACACAGACCCATTCTCTCACATGTTGGCCTACCAGCTTTCTCCTGCTTGATTTGAAGCCGCTAGAATTTTTGAGTATACAGTGGACCCTCGACCAACGATATTAATTCATTCCTGAGAGCTCATCGTTAATCAAAATTATCGTTAATCGAGTTAATTTTCCCCATAAGAAATAATGAAAATCAAATTAATCCGTGCAAGACACCCAAAAGTATTGAAAAAAAAAAAATTTTACCACATGAAATATTAATTTTAATACACACAAACTGAAGAAGACATGTACAATTACATGACACTTACCTTTATTGAAGATCTGGTGATGATTGATGGGATGGGAGGAGGGGAGACTATGGATGGTGTTAGTATTTAGAAGGGGAATCCCCTTCCATTAGGACTTGAGGTGTCAAGTCCTTTTCCGGGGTTACTTTTCTTCTTCTTTTAATGCCACTAGGACCAGCTTGAGAGTCACTGGACCTCTGTCGCACAGCATATCTGCCCCAAGAGGCCTGTACCTCCTGTTCCTTTATGACATTCCTAAAATGTTTCACAACATTGTCAGTGTCATAATTAAACACTTGTTCAGGTTTCAATTCTTCACTGTCTATGTACTCCTTGAATTCCTGCACATATTTTTCAGCTGCTTTTTGGTCCAAACTGGCAGCCTCACCATGCCTTATCACACTATGTATGCCACTACGATTCTTAAATCTCTCAAACCAACCTTTGCTGGCCTTAAATTCACTCACATCACCACTAGTTGCAGGCATTTTTCTAATTAAATCCTCATGCAACTTCCTAGCCTTTTCACATATGATCACTTGAGAGATGCTATCTCCTGCTATCTGTTTTTCATTTATCCACACCAATAACAGTCTCTCAACATCTATCACTTGCGATCTCAGTTTCGAAAACATAGTTGCACCTTTGGCAAGAACAGCTTCCTTGATTGCCGTTTTCTTGGCCACAATAGTAGTGATGGTTGATTGGGGTTTTGCGTACAACCTGGCCAGCTCGGAGACACACACTCCACTTTCATACTTAGCAATGATCTCTTTCTTCATATCCATAGTAATTCTCACCCTTTTTGATGTAGGGTTGGCACTAGAAGCTTTCTTGGGGCCCATGGTGACTTATTTTGCAGGCGCAATCACTAAAAATGCTGTGATAATATGAAATGTTCCGATTGTATGTTTGGATGGGACCGCGGTGGCTGGCTGGCTTGTAAACACTGGCCACAAGTGGACGCATCTCAGACGGAACGAATAGTGTTGGTCGAGTTTTTTAGCGCTAATTGAGGCAAAATTTTTGCGTTAAAATGTATCGCTAGCCGGATTTAACGTTAGACGATGCCATCGTTGGTCGAGGGTCCACTGTATATATGTCAAACACGATGGCTCGTAAGACGTATATATACGACTGAAACAGTCAAAGGGTTAAAATGGAAGTTTTTTCAGTTTTGTCATGTATGAGTTATAATCTTGTTAGTGGATAGCTGGGGAAATGGTGAATGTTTTTAGTGCGTAAAATGTTGATAGAATTGTCGTGCATTGTAAACTTTTATTTTATGTATATATTAATAGAGTGAGTGATGGTGAAAGTGTTTCTTCATTTTTGGGTCACCCTACCTCAGTGGGAGACAGCTGATGTGTTAAAAGAAAAAATTTCAATTGATATAAATATAATATGAATATGAATATGATATGAATATAAAAGAAACACTGTCTGTTTATAAATTCAAGTCTCTTCTTAAAAATCACTTACTCACCCACAACCAAATAAATACTGAATAATTGTATCTCATAAATGTTTAACCTGTGACCCAATCAAACTTTGTTATTTTTAGTTACATTATCTAACAGAATACTCCATTCTACTGAATGCACAGCAACACAGTAAATGACCATATGACCTGTCTTTGAAATACTCATTTTTGCTTAATTGTTAACTGTTTACAACAATGTTTACCACTGAATATATCTTTGCTTAGTTAATCTTAAGTTAATTTTAAGCCTGCCCATAATGCTCTGCATACAAGGGGCTTTGGCATGTTACACTTAACCACTGTATTTCCTTGTACTTCTATGTATCATGTTCAAATAAATAAATATTTTATTTATAATGAGTTCTTATCCACAGGGTACACCAATTCTAATCATTGGACATCATATCTTATATGGCAAAGTGCAAGATCTTGAAAAGCCACTTGCAGTTATGAGAAAGACTTGGGTTTCCAGCAATGACACCAGTGGTATGGATATTGATGAACTAGACAGTTTGCAAGATGGCCATAGACAGCAGTCTGTGGAGTACACTATCAAGGCAATTATTAGGAAAAAGCTTCTCTTTAAAACAAGGCCAAAACCAATCATAGCAAGTACTCAAAATGCAAATCAAAATTAATGTTATATTTCACACGTTCACTGTTTAATTTTATTATAAACAGATATTTTACACTTTCCTTTTACAGTACTGTATTATTATTTTCTTATTCATTTGAACATTGACTTTTTTTTTTAACCCTTTTGCTGGCTGTGTTGTACTACTACGTGATACTCAGCTCACTCAGATAAGCTGTAAGAGGTAAATTGGGTCTGGATATGAAAGAAAGGATCGATGTGTAAGTGTATACCTGGAGAGGATTTTGGAGATCAACTCCCCTGTGGCCCGGTCTGTGACTAGGCCTCCCGGTTGATCAGGGCCTGATCAACCAGGCTGTTACTGCTGGCCACACACAAACTGACATATGAACCACAGCCCTGCCGATTAAGTACCGACTTCAGGTGCCTGTCCAGCACATTCTTAAAGACAGCCACGGGTTTATTGGTATGCTGGGAGGCAGTTGAACAGTCTTGGACCCCAGACACTTATTGTGTTGTGTCTTAGCACACTTGTGGCACCCCTGCTTTTCAGTTTGGGGATGTTGCATCTCGTGCCCAGTCTTTTGTTTTCGTAAGGAGTGATTTTTGTATGCAAATTTGAAATAGTCCCTCTAGGATTTTCCAAGTGTATATTATCATGTATCTTTCTTGCCTGCATTCCAGGGACTACAAGTTAAGGGACTTTAACTGTTCTCAGTAATTTAGGGGCCTTATCGTTCTTATGAGCTCCGTGAAAATTCTCTGTACATTCTCCAGGTCTCCAATTTTGCCTGCCTTTAAAGGGGCCGTTTGTGTACAGCAATACTCTTTACCTGTCTAGACTTAAGTAGTCTTTAAGTATTAGGTTAAGTCTGCTTGAAATGCCTCAGCATGATAGTGGCTTTCATTTTTCCAGTCAAATTATGAAATGTAAACACATATTGTAACCTTAGTTTGGAAATAAAATTTTATTTTATTTCATTTATTATTTATTTCAGCCTAGAGAGAGAACAAGGAAGTTGAAGAGAATCATCATTGGCTTGGCATCCCTAGTTTTGAAAGTTCTCATTATTCATAGTATCATTTTCCTAGCAGATGTTTTAGATACATTGTTGTGATCTTTGAAAGGGAGATTCTCTGACAGTATCACTCCCAGGTGCTTCACATTAGTTTTTCATTCTATTGTGTGGTTGGAATTTGTTTTATGCTCTGATGCAGTTTTAATTTCCTTGAGTTTTCCATATTGGAGTAATTGAAATTTCTCTTCATTGAACTAACTTCATGTTTTCCTTAGGCCATTTAAAGATTTGGTTAATGTTCGCTTAGAGTCTTCCAGTGTCTTCAGTGGATAACAGTCATTCATCATGCACCATATAAAAAATCCTGCAGCACATAGAGCATAATGAGAAAAACTGTGACCGTGTTTTTGGTTTAAAACAGCATGTTTACAGTATATTTTCATGTGGTTTGTTTCGTTGTATTCTCAGTTTCTTGGTCTCATTTGATAGAATGGAAGATATACTACAGAAATAGAGATGATTTTGCTTGGTTTTACGACTGAAAATAGCTTGAAATTGAGCTCAAGTTAGCAGAAATGTTTGATTTTTGCTGATGTTCAAGAATGCACAGATCACATCACACGTCCAGTACACATCAACTGGTGGGTCTAATATGCATTCATGAATGCAGATATTATTTATACAGTGGAACCTCGGTTTTTGTCATTAATTTGTTTCAGAAAGGCTGACGAAAACTGAATTCGATGAAAACTGAAGCAATATTTCCCATAAGAACTAATGTAAATCTAATGAATCCTTTCCAGACACCCAGAAATATTAACAAAAAATACATTTTATAGAGAATAACTATAGTTTTACATACAGAAAATAATGAGAAATAAATATAAAGGACTAATGAAATGGATAAATAAACATTTAGCATCATTTTAACCTTTATTTAAGATTCTTGCTGGCGTATGGAAGATGCGAGGAGGGGAGAGGGAGGAGGAGAGGTTATTGGTTGGAAGGGGAGTCCTCCTCCAGAAGGACCTCAGGTATCAAGTCCTTATCTGGGGTTACTTCCCTGCTATGTTTTTTGCTGGCACTGGCTTCCCTGTCGCACAAAAAATGTGTCCAGAGAAGTCTGTTTCTGCCGTCTCTTTAAGATGGGACAAGGCATTGTCATTGCAACAGCTTTGTTAGGGTGATATTTCTCCACAGAACTTTGGAACTCACTCCACTTTGCACACATGTCCTTAATCACTGAAGAAGGCACTGATCATTGATGAGGATTTCCCTTACATTCTGGCAAGATCGACCACATGTACGCCACTTTCGTACTTTGCTATGAGTTCTTTCTTGAATTCTGTTTTGTTCCTCCCCTTCTTTATCAAAGGGCTGGCACTCAGAACTTTCTTTGGACCCATGATGGCGGTGGGTGAAGAAGTCATGCGTGTTTGAGCTCCATCAAAATTACATTCTTTCTGACGGTCCCAGAGGGCCAGAGTGCAGAAACTAGATGTGTGCAAAACTTAAAGTGCATATACTCATATAAACCTACATAAAGGAAATACCACTGATCACTGAAGAGAAAAAATATAGATTGTAGTGTCAAGTGTGGTGCCAAGCCTCAGAATAATGGCTGTTACTGGAGGGTGTCATACAGGAAATGTGTTTAGCAGTGAGCGAAGATTAGTGAGGGGAAATAAGAAAGATCAGGGATTAACACAAATTCAAAGAGCAGAAAAGCTAAGAAATGAAAAAGGACTTTTGTTAAAACCACAGGAAAATGTAAGATAGAGTTATTAGTAAAAGTGTAGGAGGAGTGCAGGTTGTGAACTAGGCATACAGGTGTTTCCACGCAGTGGTCATGTTGTTGTATAAGGAAGGATTGTTTCTCATCTCGTTATTAGTAATACAGTGGACCCTCGCCTTACGATATTAATCCGTTCCTGAGAGCTCATCGTAAGCCGAAATTATCGTAAGGCGAATTAATTTTCCCCATAAGAAATAATGGAAATCAAATTAATCTGTTCCTGACACCCCAAAATATGAAAAAAAAACTTTTACCATATGAAATATTAATTTTAATACACACAAACTGAAGAAGACATGCACAATTACTACTCTACTAAGAATAGAATACATGACACTTACCTTTATTGAAGATCTGGTGATGATTGATGGGATGGGAGGAGGGGAAAGTGTGGAAGTTATTATTGTTTAGAAGGGGAATCCCCTTCCATTAGGACTTGAGGTATCAAGTCTTTTTCTGGGGTTACTTCCCTTCTTCTTTTAATGGCACTAGGACCAGCCTAAATTCTAGTGCCCTCAAATCTAGTGAGAGAAAGCTGGTGGGCCTACATATGAAAGAATGGGTCTATGTGGTCAGTGTGCGCAGTATAAAAAAAATCCTGCAGCACACAGTACGTAATGAGAAAAAAAAAAACTTTGTGTTTTTGGATTAAAACAGCGACTTTGCACTGTATTTTCGTATGGCATTTATTGTTGTATTCTAGTTTTCCTGGTCTCATTTTATAGAATGGAAGACATATTACAGAAATTGAGATGATTTTGACTGGTTTTACAATGAAAAGTACCTTGAAATTGAGCTCAAAGTAGCAAAAATGTTCAATTTTTACCAAAGTTCAAAAGTAAACAAATCGTGCCAAGCGGCCAATACACGTCAACTGGTGAGTCTAATACTCTTTCACAAGTGTGCTGATATTATTTATACCATTTCTACACTAATGCGGTAGTCTGCATGACAGTAAATCTTCTATTTTTTATAAGAATAAAAATTCAAAGTGGAAAGCCAAAGAAATATAAGAGGGGCCTGGGGATGTGACTAACGAACAGAGATCTTGTTATTTTAGTGCCAGGAATGTCTTTCTTGTTTATTCTGGACCCTATTTGGAAATTGGCATCTTTTGAAATTTGTGTGAAATTGGCAAAATTGCTAAATTCTGACCACTGCATTGGATGGTTGAAATTGGTAAATGGGTGGTTTCTTGTACTCATTCGATAGAAAAAATAGAGTTCTAGTGAAATAGTTATGATTTTTGTCAACTAGTACACTGGAATTGGCCTAAAATAGGGTTCAAAGTGGGCAAAATCGCCAATGCGTAAACATCGTTGAGACCGCTAACTTTGCGAGAGCATAATTCCGTAAGTTTTCCATCAAATTTCATACTTTTGGTGTCATTATGATTGGGAAAAGATTCTCTATTTTTTCATATGAAAAAATAATTTTTTTTTTTTTTGAAATTTGGGGGACCCTGAGAGCAAGTCTCTGAGAGGGCCTGTGGACCCTGAAAGGGTTAAAGTCCCGCACATATTTTTCATCTGCTTTTTTGTCTGAACTGGCAGCCTCACCATGCCTTATCACACTGTGTTTGCCACTACAATTCTTAAATCTCTCAAACCAGCCTTTGCTGGCCTTAAATTCATCAGCAGCAGCACTATTTGGAGGCATTTTCTTAATGAGATCATCATGCAACTGCCTTGCCTTTTCACATATTATTGACTGAGATATACTATCCCCTGATAAATGAATCTCGTTTATCCACACCAATAACAGTCTCTCCACATCTTTGAGTATTTGCGATCTCTGTCTTGTAATCACACTTGCACCTTTTGCAACAACAGCTTCCTTGATTGCCTTTTTGTTGCGCAAGATAGTAGTGATAGTTGAATGGGGTTTCTTGTATAACTTTTCCAACTCCGAGATACGCACTCCACTTTCGTACTTTTCTATTATCTCCTTTTTCAATTCGATGGCTCACCTCACCCATTTTACCACAGGGTTAGCACTAGAAGTTTTCTTGGAGCCCATGGTGGCTTATTTAGAGGTTACAAGCACTAAAAACAGTGGAATAATACAAAATATATTGCAGGTAGATGTGGATTCGACTGCAGCGGCTTATAAACAATGGCACACTGGCTGATAGACTGGGTGGCTGGCTGGGCCCACTCACGGCGCCGAGTGGACACATTTGGGACGAAAGCTCCTAACTGAGTTTTTAGGTGTTATCCGAGCCAATTT